CATGAGTCGTCTTTTGATCGTTGAAATATTGATAGGGCAATTATTTCGCTGGAAAAATGATCTGAATTATTTTCTGAACGTTCATATATATATTAGTGAATGGCATCGATTAGACCAAATTGCTTTGCTTGCACACATAAATACGCATATATAATAATCAAAATCGGACCATAATGCTGCTACAGAGGGAATTTTTGGGGTCGGCTGCGGCTGACTAACTTTTTATCTTCTACCCCGACTGGTTCTTCCTTTCCTTCTCATTTTCTGCAGATTTCCCCTTTTCATACCCATTAAAAAATCGAAGCAGCTGGGGAAAAAAAGTGACCCTTGAATGGAATGTGATGCTTGCTAATGGGCGCAATAGCTAAGATTCAGACAATTTGAATTAGAAGTATATCAAATTAAGGGTAAAGTGAGACTTGGTATTCATTTCTAGAAGAGAGGGAGGAAACAAATCATGTTGCCAATTGCCATGTAAGTTGTAATTTGTAAAGCTTGAAGTCTGTTGGTGGTTACGCCATACACTAGTTATTGATCACCTTGTAGTATTTTTGTCACACCGTATCGTTAAACGGAATCGGATAGTAGAATAGAACTTTCTTGAACCAGTTGTGCTCTTAATTTTTTTTTATAGAAATTTCCGAGTTTATACAATATCATATTGGTTCGAACCATGCTTTCTGTCTTTGCCGATTCACACAATATCTAAAAGGGCAAAATGATCTATCAATACAAAGCCATTACGAGTGAACAAAGAGAGGGAAAAAAAAACTGAAATATGACTCAACCACCCAATTCAAACCTATCAAGGATACGAAGGACCAATTTGTAGTAGATTCAAATGTATAGGATTAGTCTTGTATGTAATTAGATAGATTAGGTACTAATATGTAATTTAGTTAGTCAGTTAGGACTCGTAACTGTTTTTTCTCTCCTTTTCTCTCTCTCCTCTCTGACTCTGTAAACCGAGTATAAATCTAGCTGTCTCAGTTGGGTAATGTACGTTTTCCGACTACTAATCAAGAAATCAAGTTTCCTTTCAGTAAACTAGCAAAACCGACCCATCCAAATCATTTGAGAAAAAACAAAATATGGTATAATAAAAGTAAAATACTAATTAATGTAGTTAAATTATATAAAAATTGAGATTTTCATCTATTTACAACTTTATTATACTAAAATATGCTATAATAAAATTAAAATACTACTTAATTTGTGTACAATTATATATAATTGACACAGTTACGAGTTGAGAATGAGACATGTCAGAGAAAATGAAATCGAAAAATATTACTCATACCCGCTCCGCCTACAAATAAGATACTACCTACCCAAAACATATCAAACAGGTCGAGTAGAACCGTTTACGGTTATATAAAAATTGTCTACCTTTTAACATAAAAATAAATGGTCACATCTAGAAGCCGTTGAGCTGGTTACTTAGATCAGCAGCAGTTGATGGGCGAAACACAGCGGGCCGATTAAAGACACTTGCAGGGAAATAGCCTCTTGGGCCAAGCCTGCCGAGCAGTTCGAGCCTTTCGGCAGCTTCAAAAAATTTGGATCGTGGCTGATGGAGCAAGAACTGGGCTTATTGGGCCGGCCAACTTGGCCCATGTGTGTTACTGGACCTCTTCCTTCCTTTTTCGGTTTTTTTCCCACTGGTTGGTTGAGCCTGTCGACGTGGAGGAATGTAGACCGGTTGTCCTACCAACCAACCCCAAGTTTGTATTTGTTGTATCCAACGGTCTGGCAGCCGCAAATTAAACCAACCACCAGGCAGGCGGCGGAGAGGGAGTAAGTAAGGTGAGACTTTTATGAGGTTTAGATTTTCGAGTCAACGACATTTGTGAAAAGACCAATGTAGAACCATTGCAAAAATATAAAATTTAAGGTAAATACTAATTATTAGTCAAATCTTTTCCGTATTTAAAAAATATTATCTTACTCTTTCGAAATACCAAATATTAGCCAAACGTTAACGTCTCCAAATCACTAGTTTTGTTAGTAATATTGACATAGAAGAGACACATGAAGATCAACATTCCAAAACTTTAGTATTTTAACTACGAAAAGAGTTACAAAATTATTAACGGTAACAGAAAAATAGCTAATATTTTGGTGCGTTACCAGTTCAGTACTCAATGTTTTTGGGTTCAACGAATCGGTACAGCAACGTTTCCCAAAACATCGATTTAAAAAACTCCTCCACTCCCTATAGTAAGTCGACACGTTAAAAACACTATGTATTAATGCTAGAAAAGACACCTAACTCTTATTAATCTCTTATAATTATAATAAGTAGGGATGACAATTTCGACCTGACCCGTTTTTACCCGACCCGTTTGACCTGCTTTGGGCCGGGCCGGGCATGGGTACCTCCCACCGACCTGACCTGCCCCGGCCCGTTCTTGCCTAAATTACATGTAATCTTAGTCAAATTATTTAAGATTTCCTCTTATTACCTCATATTTTAGCTATAAATATTTCTAATGTTTTTCACATATATTATATACTCATTGGGTCGACCTGTGCCCAGTAATAAATTACCCAACTTGGACTCGACCTACTACGAAGCGGGTATGAGTAATGGAGTATCGACAGTGGCGGACCCAGGATCGTTGAAGAGGGGTGTCGCCGATAAAAAATTATATTAAATAAAATAATTAAATAAAAATAAAAGTTGAATAGAAATTACTGAAAATTCTTTTATAAGTTAACAACGTCGTGTTTACTACGAATTATGACGATTTTTCATATCCTGAATTTTTTTTAAAATACATTCATCGCTTATATTGCAAATCAAACATTTTTCGATATACACAACTACATAATCATTCATAAATTAGTCACTCAACTAAAGGGAATCGACTCACGTCTAAAATAAAACTTAAAATAAAATAGTTTATAATCAAATATAGTAAACCACGATCTACCAATTGGCAATTTTAGACAAAACAAAGTATGCCTAAAGTAATATCATTAACATTTTTCCTCTAGTTCTACCAATTTAACCAAAATCAAACCACAATCTCCCATAAATCTACCCATTTCACCTATTAACTACAAATTGACAAGTTAAATTGGGTTGTGGGTTACTTAAAACAATCATGCTTATTTGATTTTACTTATTATTGTTAATGACTAATTATGATGAATAACTTTATAACACTAAAACTATTATCATATAATGAAGGTGTGTCGCTTATACTTATTGGAGCGGTGTCGGAAGTCTCAAATTAAAATTTTTTGTACCGAAAAAATATAGGTCCTTCACAAAATTTTCGGGCGGAGGGGTGTCGGACGACACCCCTTCCATAGACCTAGGTCCGCCCCTGAGTATCGAGATACCCGCCCCAAACCTGCCCATTGCCATTCCTAATAATAAGTGACTCCTAAAATGACACGTAGTTTGAGTGAGCACTGAGCAGATTGTCAATCCCTGTCTACGTAGTTATAGTATTTGAGTTTGGAATTCCAATCCAAACGCCACCCACCCACCCTTTTATTTTATGAACCAACAACATAACCACCACCACCTTGTGCCAACCCTCCTTTCCTCGGCTCCTCCTCCATTATTATTATTATTATTATTATTATTATTATTATTATTATTATTATTATTATTATTATTATTATTATTATTATTATTATTATTATTATTATTATTATTATTTCCACAGAGAGCAATGAGGATTGGAAAATTACTGTGCATTTCTTGTCCGCGGGAAAACAACATGGATCAATAAATGCGAAACTTTCAAAGTAGTAAAGAGGACAAAGCTAGTAATGAATGAATGCGCTGCGTTTTCCCTTCTTCTGAATTCTGGTGATGAAGTCAAGTTGCCCACCACACTCTTTTCTTTGGCAATAGTTAGTTCACTTGAGAAATAATCGATCTACTTGAGATTTAGTCACCTAGCTAAACATATCTACAATCCAAGTGGTTATTAGTTCCCGCAATTTGCTCATCTTACTTGATAGATAGATGAATGCCACTAGCTAGTATGTAAATTGGTTGAATATCTTTTCCCAAAAAATACTACGAAGTGCTCGTTTCCTCTCGCGCTACGAAAATCAGAAGAGCATCAATGCGTGACATGCAGTCCGCATAGTACTGATTATACCCTCCGGAATTCTTATACTTAGAGGTTATGAGATAATTATAAGGTTATGTCATATATGTGTGGAAAACTTTTTGATCCGAACCCGTAGCTGTGGATACATAGAGGATTAACATTTAGTTATAATTCATATTATTAATAATGGACGATCTATGTATAACTATTTTGAACAAAGATTGAAGTACCGTACCGGAGGTCGTGCCGGAAAAGTAAGAGGTAGGGTAATTTTATGCTAAAACCGTGGTTTAACCATGGTCCAACCGTATTATACCGCTAAATACCGCTTACCGATTTTGCTTCCGGTAGGAGATTTTCCAGGTCGAACCGCTGGTATTTTAATCCTTGATTTCGAAAGGGTTTTATCCTCCTCATCACATTGACACATTTCTAGTACTAAAAATCGCCTTAATTCTTATAGTCACAAAGAAGAGGAGGAAGAAAAGAGAGAATTGAGTTTGTTAGTTGTTACAAAAATGTTCCAACGTGTGGAAATCAAACTTGATGTAAGATGATCCCTTAGTTTGTTTTCGTGCAATCTTCTCATGCGTCCAAAATCGAAACAAACATGTCATATATGCAAAAACTGCCCATATGATCCGATGATGAAGTTATTAGCTAATAGCTAGCTAGCTAGCCATTTCATATTTTACTCATAATTTGTTTTCAAATAATTCATTATTAATTTTACGTAAACAACCTATATAATTTGTTTTCAAATAATTCATTAAAACAAAAAGAAGAAGAACAAAATTTTTTTTTGAGCGAGAATATATGGCGTTAGTTGGGGTTCACAAAATCCAAAAAATTCACAACAGTCTTTGTACCTCTTTATAAACTAAACACCAAATCCGCTATTTCAAAGCAGCAGCTTTACCATTTCTTTGCTGGCTGGCTGGTAGCTAGACGCGAACCAAGTCTTGTTAATTCCTTAATCCCCCCGCCGCCAATGGAGACGCCGCTGCTCACCCACTCCGGCGCCGGCGACGACGGCGGCGACTACGCGCCGGTCAAGTCCCTGCCGGCGCTCCGGTCGGTGTTCCGCACCGAGACCGTGAAGCTGTGGAGGATCGCCGGGCCGATCGCGTTCAACACGGTGTGCCAGTACGGGCTCAACTCCGTCACCAACATGTTCGTCGGACACATCGGCGGGCTGGAGCTCTCCGCCGTCGCCATTGCACTCTCCGTCATCAGCAACTTCTCCTTCGGATTCTTGGTCAGTGGGATTTTCCCTTTTGCACCCCCTCATCTTTTTTTCTCTCGGCTTGGAAAATTTCCGGCGGTGTTTGAATTAGATTTCAGAAGAAATTGTAGTGTTCGTTACAGATATTCTTAATGGCCAAAAACAAGTTCTACAAAAACAAATTAGATTCGGAAGAATTTTCAATTCGGCCATGAGTGAAAATCACTTCAAGTTCGTACTCAATGCTTATAAGTTACCATGTTAGTAATCAATCACTTCGAGCTACACAATTTCACAATCAAATCCAAAGATGTCACTTAACATGTTGTAACAAATTTTTTTGCAGCTAGGAATGGGGAGTGCACTGGAAACCCTCTGCGGCCAAGCTTTTGGAGCAGGACAGGTCCACATGCTAGGAATCTACATGCAAAGATCATGGATCATCCTCTTGGTCTCCTGCCTCTTCCTCCTCCCTCTCTACATCTTCGCCACTCCAATCCTCAAGCTACTAGGCCAGGAAGAACAGATAGCCAATCTAGCAGGACAATTCACATTGCTCATAATCCCACAGCTCTTCTCCCTGGGAGTGACATTCCCAACCCAGAAGTTCCTCCAGGCGCAGAGCAAGGTCACTGCTCTGGCCTGGATCTCGCTCGCTGCGCTGATCGTGCAGATCCCTCTGCTCTGGCTCTTCATCTTCTGGTTCGATTGGGGCACGACCGGTGCAGCTCTGGCCTATGATGTGACAAGCTGGGGTGTGGCTATAGCTCAGGTGGTTTATGTGATCGGTTGGTGCAAGGAAGGGTGGACCGGGCTGTCGTGGCTCGCGTTTAGGGACATTTGGGGGTTCGTCAGGCTGTCGTTGGCGTCGGCTGTGATGCTTGCTCTTGAGATTTGGTACTTCATGAGTGTCATTGTGATTACGGGGCATCTTGATAATGCTGTCACGGCGGTTGGTTCGCTTTCGATATGGTGAGCTTGACCCAATTTGTTTTATTACTTGGTGCACAAGTTTGTTATGTTCTTTCTTTCACTAACAATCTTCCCCCCCCCCCCCCCCCCCCCCCCCCCTTTGTTCAACTTTTGCAGTATGAATTTCAATGGATGGGAAGCTATGGTGTTCATTGGTATCAACATAGCTATAAGGTGAGATTTCTGCTTAGCGTGGTTACAATGTTTGATCATGATTCTGTGGTTGGGTTTTGCCTATTGATTGATTTTTTTTTTTTTTTTGCAGCGTTCGAGTATCGAATGAGCTAGGAGCAGGGCATCCTAGAGCAGCGAAATACGCGGTTTACATCGTCGTGTTTCAGTCGTTCCTAATCGGGCTGTTGTGCATGGTGGCGGTGCTGATATCGAAGGATTACTTCTCGATAATCTTCACCAACGACAAAGACCTGCAGGTAGCTGTGTCTAAGCTGGCGTTCTTGCTTGGTATCACCATGGTTCTCAACAGTGTTCAGCCAGTCATTTCAGGTAGGGTAACAGAATACCAATTTGACTTAATTCCTTGTACTAGAAGGCAGAGTACTCTGTTCTTAGAAACCTCTTTATTATTAATTTGTTCAGGTGTGGCTATTGGTGCTGGGTGGCAAGGGCTGGTGGCTTACATCAACATATTCTGTTACTATGTATTCGGGCTGCCACTAGGGTTTCTTCTCGGCTACAAATTTAACTTGGGTGTTACGGTACCATCAACAACAAAAACACACTCTTCTTTTGTTTGCCATATTCGACACCCTCGAGCTTTCGTGCTCTGATTTAATCGACGATTTGTTTGAATGTTGTGCATGGAACAGGGGATTTGGGGTGGAATGATTGCAGGGACGGCATTGCAGACTCTGATACTCTTGATCATCCTCTACAAAACCAACTGGAACAAAGAGGTGATGAGAAAGCAAAAACTAATTGGTTTAACCCTTTTCATCTCTCACATTTGTTTCATCTCTCGTTGAATGTAAAGGTGAAATCTTTTATTGGAAATGCAGGTGGAGCAAACGACAGAAAGAATGAAGAAATGGGGTGGACATGAGATCAATGGTGATAATCAGAGGAAGATCAATGGAGCTTGAAAACAGGGGAGAAAGGAAATGAAAAGCTTTGAGGATGATGAGTTTATTGGGTTTTAGGAGAATGATTCATGTAAAGCAATGAACTAGAGAGGACATCCCCAATTGAAACTTGGAAAACCCCATATTCTAGTTAGCATTTTAGAGTTTTTCCTCCTTTTTGAGCAAGCCTAGTCCTAATCTGTGGGCAGTTCTCCTGGTTCATTGACTCTCTGATTACTGTTGTATTATGAAAAAGTTATTATTGACATGGCTGGCTAGGGCTGTTAGTTTGGTTTGGTTAACAAATCACTAAGCATGAAAAATAAAAAATAAAAAATCAAATCAGACAAATTCTCAAAAATCAAAATCAAAATTGGATGGTATGTTTTTTTGGAAGTTCTTTTATGCCTTCTTGATATGTTTTTGTGCTTTTCAAGGTAAAATATAACCTAAGAGAATTTGGATTAAACATTGGATGATTCTGGAGGACCAAAGGAACTAAAGAGAGAAGAATATGAAGTTTTGACGAGGTTTAACGGAAAAACCTACTAGGAACCACGAGTAATCATGTGCTATCCTCACTTCTCTGTTCTTCATTGATTAGGTGATGACATGAAGTGAAAGCACACATTAGCTAGTCAAGTTCCTATTGCATGTGGCGAAAGCTCGAGTAGGATTAGGGATGGTGATTTGAACCCGCCCAGTTGGGTATTACTTAACCTGTCCTGTGATGGAGTATGTATTATACGACCCGCCAGGGGGGGGGGGGCATGTGAATCTATATTCGACCCGTCCCACCCCACCTCGTTCTTAGCTCATTCTGTCTCAATTCACACAATATATATTCATATTTCTCCTATTTTGGCTTTATTTCAACTAATTACACTTGATCTTCAACTATTTAGACTCAATTATTCATTATATTATCACTATTTTTCATTCATACAATGTTTTCTCTTTGTTTTATCGTAAAAAGTAAAATTTTGTATATTTTTTTCCAAATAAGTTGTAAGAAGTGGGTCGACCCTACTCACACTTGGTGAGGGGCCGACATAGATATTTAAATACCCGCCCCACCCGTTTGCCATCACTTAGTAGGATGACCTTGATGGAAGAGAAAAAATGATACTGTAGTCAATATAGGTGAACCATTGATGAAAGATATTCTATTCAATAATGTATATTTAATTTATGCATCTATATAATTTGAAAAACCTCTAAACATCTTTTACTTTTCTTGCTTTACTTTGATGCCTATTTGAAAATATCCCAAAAGTATTGACCATTATTTTTTTCGAACATAGATAATATGGTGTCAGTAATTATGCATTAGAAACTCTTGTGAAATACGACCCTAGAGCATCTAGCTAGAATTTTTTTATCACCCACATGAATTGCATCATCATCAAACATAAGTACTTACTAATTAATGAAGAAATGAATTTACGAGTAAAATCAAATACAGTCAAAGGTTAAGTCAAAGGTTATCTCGATTAGAAATGTACATTCTGAAAATCGTATATATGAGTAATAATCTCAAACTACAGTTGATTATATCAATAAGAAATATACATTCTGAAAATTGTATGAGTAATAATCACAAAAATCCATTTGATTAGTGTAATACTATTATGTTAACAAAAACAAGTGTATCTTGTAAGGCAACTTGGAACTACAAAATTATAGTCAGAATGATCAAAATGTTGAATTTACCTAAGTAGTCTCTGTGTGCAACCATAAATGGTCCTCCATACCAATTGTGTTGGGCCAAATATTGAGGCCCCTGGGCCTTAGGCCCATGGTCACCTAAAAGCCCATGGAAAACGATTCTGGCCCGCTGACAGATCTAGGGCGGTTCTCTCCTGGCGTAATAACGAAACCGCCCGACAAAGAGGTAAAAACCGCCCGACATAAGGGAAAACGGATATCTGTCCTTCCCCGTACGGAGTCTGACAAGGTACGTACCAGCGATAAAGTCGGAGGCGTCTCAGGACGCCCGACAAGTCATTAAATGCTCATAAACCGACCACAGCTAGTATAAATACCCACGGATGAGCTACATTGATGGTAACTTCTACCTACTCCACTCTCTCTCTTATTTACTCTCACTTCACTTCTCTCTCTAACTTAAGCTTCGGAGGAGGTCCCAGGCACCCCCTGTGGACCTTTTTTGCAGAGCTTCGGAGGCCGCCTACTACCGTATCGGACCGCCTAAGGCCGGTGAAGCCTCACAAACCGCTTGGAGCAATCCTAGCACAAACATTTTGGCGCCCACCGTGGGGCCTAACGACTTTATGGCGAGCGAGATGGGAGACGACTTCGAAACCCCTCTCAAGGGTATGACCGAAAACAACACCCGCCGAGGCTTGTCGCCGAGAGTTGAAGATGAAACAGAGCTGGAGGAAGTAGTCAAAAGTCAAGGAATGCAAATTGCGAGCATGCAAGACAGCCTTTCCCAGATCCTCCAACTTCTCAAAACACGGGACGACCACGCTGAAGGATCCAAAGGGAAGGCGCGTGACGAGAAGCAAAAGGGCGTCCTCATCCTTGACAGCCCTGCACGGACAGAAGGCGGAGGACCTGAGGGCGATGACGCGGATCTCAACTTCCTGGAGGAACATTTGCGGTCGACGTTCGGGAAGCACAAGAGCCCGAACGTCCTCCAAAACCCTCTGTCGAAAGAGCTTTTCAAGACTCCAGTCCCTCCCAACTTCTCCTCTTTGGGACTTCCGACCTATGGCGGGACATCAGATCCCGCCGACCACCTTTGTGCGTTCATGCTCAAAATGCAACTTATTAACGCGACAGACTCAGATCTGTGCCGCGCGTTCCCGGTCACCTTCAGCGGTCAATGCCGGACATGGTACACCTCACTCCCGGAGGGGATTATCGAGAACTTTGAGCAATTCGCGATGCTTTTCTCCACCAAGTTTGCGTCCCAACGGCGTCGTAAACTCACCGTCTCGGCACTCATAAATTGCCGGCAGAGAAAAGAAGAATCACTCGCCGAGTTCTACGATCGATGGAACGCGATCGCGTGCGAGATAGACGACATCTCTTCGGTGGTGGCCGCCAGAAACCTCCGTATCTCAACAACCAGCATCGAGCTAAAAAGAACCTTGATAAAAAAGGAAGCTACCTTGACGGCTTGGTCAGATTTGGACCAGTTAGTACGCAGAGCGATCTTGTTGGAGGAAGCCCTAGCCAACGACGACAGGGGGCAACAGGGTCGCCCACGAGGAGACGCCTCAGAGCGTGGAGATCCCCAAAGGGGAAGGCGGTCCCCCGACCGAAGATCGTATCGAAACAGATACCCCGACCGTGAAGGAAGAAAAGATGTGCTGTCCACCGACAGAGATAGGGGCAGAGACCGAAGAAAGGGCGGAAAGAGGTACGAGGCGTCTTCCGCCCAAGAACCGCAGGAAGGGAAGAAATGGTGCGATTGGCATCAAATCACCACCCACGACACCGCAGAATGCAGAGAGTTTAAAGCCACACTTCGGCTCCTGGCTCCGGGAGACCTAAGAAGTAGGTTGGAAACAAGGTGGTCCCATCGGGAACACTCAGCAGAGGAAAGAGAGGAGTCCCCGAGCCCTGAGCAAGACAAGTCCCGGCGGACAAGAAAAGAGCGGTCCCGATCCCGCTCTCGAAACAAGGCCGCCTCCCCCCAGAGGCCGTCCCCACCCTACCGGGCACCACGGAATGAGGATGACGGGATGGAGGTCATCACAATCGCAGGAGGGCGGAAACGCCCAAGAACCGAAGGAAACCGCCTCGCCCAATGCTTCAACGTGCAACGCGGGGCCCCGACGGAAGTTACCTTCTTGCCTTCCGAGCTAGCCGGTGAGGAAAACTCAGAAGACCCGTTGGTCGTTTCCTTTCGGACCGCCAAATTCAAGGTCACCCGAGCCCTAATCGACAACGGAAGCTCGGCGGATATCCTGTTCTATTCCGCACTCAAAGGAATGAAGAAGAGCGTCCAGGACCTCCAACCCTCCAACACCAGCCTAGTGGGATTCTCCGGAACAAAAGTTCGTGTTCTTGGTTCGATCACCCTCAAGGTCACCATAGGAGAAGGCGGCGTAACAAAGACCCACCCGGTGGAGTTCCACGTTGCAGATTGCCCTTCGGCCTACAATGCTATCCTCGGTCGTGGCTTCCTTGCGACCTTTGAGGCGGTCGCCTCAACCTGCCATCAGATGCTAAAGTTCCCAAGCGGGGGTCTAACGGGGAAAGTCCGAGGCAACCCTAGGGACGCAAAGGAATGCTACCAAGCGACCATCGAACATTTGGAGGTCGACCTCGTCGACACTAGAGGAGACGTGCCACGCCCTGAGGCGGTCGAGGGCGATGTGGCGGTCCCGCTCAACGAAGAAGATCCTAACAAGACGGTGCGCATCTCGTCTCACTTAGCCGATGAAGAGGCTCAGAATCTACTAGCCCTCCTCCGAGAGTTTCAGGACCTTTTCGCATGGGGATCGGAAGACATGCCGGGTGTTCCCCGCCGAATCTCAGAACACCATCTCTCGATCAAGCATAAAGCAAAGCCAATACAGCAGCGCAGGCGGCACTTGTCCGTGGAGAAGCAAATGGCACTCGAAGAAGAGGTGAGGCGTCTTCTCAAAGCCGGCTTCATACGGGAGGTGCAATACCCGACATGGCTTTCGAACCCTGTCTTCGTGAAAAAGGCAGGAGGCGCCTGGAGAATGTGCATCGATTTCACTAGCCTCAATGCGGCGTGTCCCAAAGATGCATATCCTCTTCCCCGCATCGACCAACTAATAGATGGGACCGCCAACCACGAGGCGCTCAGCTTCCTCGATATGTTTTCAGGATATCACCAGATCAAGATGGCAGAAGGCGACCAAGAGCTGACCGCATTCATGACACCCATGGGGAACTTTTGCTACGTCGTCATGCCTTTCGGGTTAAAGAATGCGGGAGCAACCTACCAAAGGATGGTCGATGCGGTCTTCAAGGACCAGATAGGAAGGAACGTCGAAGCCTACGTGGACGACGTCCTCGTCAAAAGCAAGAAGGCAGGGGACCACCTCTCCGACTTACGGGAAACTTTCGAAACGCTGCGACGGAAGAACCTAAGGCTTAATCCGCTCAAGTGCGTCTTCGGGGCTGAAGCTGGAAAATTCCTCGGCTTTATGATCACGAAGCGAGGAATAGAGGCCAATCCAAAGCAGATTGAAGCCTTCCGCAACCTGAAGCCGCCTAAGACAATCAAGGAGATCCAGGCATTCAACGGCAAAATGGCCGCACTCGGTAGATTCATCCCGCGGTCTGCGGACAAGTGCTCGCCATTTTTTCAAATGCTCAAAAAGTCAGCCTCCCGACTCCAATGGAGCGCCGAGTGTGACAAGGCCT